TTTTTCGGCATGTGATCCTAGAGTGTTTGCTTCTACTCACATGATCAACTTATTTGTCTATCCACCTGTAAGAAAAGCATGGAATGTGTACTCATTTCTCACACTGAGCAATTATGTATGGTCGGTGAAAGGGCAACTAGCAGCTCAGCATGCTGTTTCCGCGGTGGGCCAGTATACCAGTGTTCCAAAATTTCATTCCTCAAGTTTTTTTTCCTGTACTTTGCTTGTTCGCCTAGTCCCTCTTAATGATTTCTCTTAGACTATACAGGTTTTCCAGTGAACGATTCATTGCTTTTTTTACCCTGAATATGGAGATATTACGGATATGTGTCAAAATTGAATTTGCTCACTATTTCATTGTTTTAGTTTCTTCTCCCTTGGTTCGCTTTATTCTATCTTATTTGATTTTTGCCACCTACTTGAATGTTCTTTGGCTCTCTGTATTCAAGCTATGATTCTGTAGTTTCATTTGCGCACCTGATTGTATTGAATAAATAAATTTAAGCCATTATGTTGTTGGAAACGTTATCATAATCAAATTCATAATTTAGCAAAATGCGCTTTTTCTCAATGCGACTATAATTATGGCTAGCGAGTTCATTACGAAGTATAAAACTGCTTTCTTCTCATTACAGCTCGAAAGGTTTTAAGCACATGGTGTTTACTCAAATGTACCTGAGCTCCTCCTTTGCTTAAGTAGGAGTCAGGCTTTCAGTACAGAGGTATATGTTTGACTGAAATTTTCACAAACATCAGGCATAGAGATGTATATTTGAGATCGCCATTAGCTGCTTATACCAGCATAATCTCACCATTTCTCCATATCGATCTCATTCTTTTGTCAATTTCAGTAAATGATGTTTTAGGAGCTTAAAAGCAAATCTGCAAAATTGTACAAATATTCTTATTTATTCAAATATAATCAATGAATCGGATCTCACAAAGATCATATCAAAACCGATTCGCGGTCGGAGTGATTCTAGAACCTGGCACGTTTGTTAGTGTGCCAATCTTTGCAGTAAATCCTTTTCCTCGAAAAAAATTTTTGATCAGTGTTCGCATTTCGTAATTCAGCGCACCGTAAACTATGCTGTTGCACGAGCCTAAAATAAGATGAAATTGTTGGAATTTTAGGAGCAGAACTGTAGAAGAAACCTGCAGCTAGGAGCCCGAGTATGTAAAAAGGACCAAAAGTTCTAAATATAGGGAAATGGATAATTCTAGCAAAGCCAACGCCTATGCTTGGTAGTGTTACAAAAAGCAGAGACGTAAGAAGAATTCCCACGGAGATGCGATTAGCCTAAAATTACTTATTAAAGTTTCTTCAGCTCAAAATAGTAAGTTCTACCTGTGCAAATCTGCTTGCCTCCTTATTGTTAAATAGTTCTACTGATTTTGATTTTTTCTGGACCAAATGTAACTTTACCAAGATCATGCATGTCAATACTATGATCGCAATGCCCAAAATCTAAAATGGGCAATAAGTTATTTTTGACCTACGAATTATTTCTCAATGGATTTGGTTTCACTATGACTTGCCATATTACTAGTTCCCCAATAGTATCGAAACTGATCACCGACGAAGCATCCGAGTGCAGAGCAGTTAGCTTGTTCCATAAATGGAGTAACAAGAAAAAGTAAAAATATGTCACAACCACCTAGACACACTCCTATCGAGAGCGACATATTACCATATAGAGCAAAAGCCATCTTTCGATAAATTATTGGTAAAAATAATGCCTAAATAAATGAGCTTTGCAGAAAACGGAGAGTGAAATTCACTACTCACGATCAATCTTTCCAGCGCAATGGCAATAGTAAGAATTAGATTAATCTTTAGATGTATCAGTAGTGAGGAGCTGAATGTCATAACGTAGTAGGGATTAAGATTCATGTCATACATATCCCAATATGCAGTAAGGTAGATGGTGTATGGGGCAGCTAAAAGGACTGAAACGTAATAGATACTTTAAAAAATTGCAGGCAACCCTACCAGTGATAGTAAGTATAAA